CACTGGAAGGGGCCGAAAACGAATCCATCACTCTCTATGTCCCTCTTCCTCTTCTTAAGGTTGGAAGTGCCGTTCTGTCTTTGGTTCTTCACTTCTTCCGTAAAACCCTACCCTTTTGCTTGGCATTTTTTACCATCAGACTGTATTATATCCAAATAATAATATTGAAATTAATGTTAAAGGATAGAATCGTTGTCATTAACGACACATCAGTACAAGGGGTGATTTGAAACCTGTTTTATCAATTAGAAGGGTTGTAAGTATCATTTGACATAATGCAAACGATATTTAGGTATAACGAGTAAATATTCCATGTAAATTGTGTTATTATTTTTACCTGATATTATTATTTAATAAAAATAAGTAAATAAATAAAATATAAAATATATATTTTTCTAATTATTATATTATATAGAAGTACTTATCGAATTGTCTACAATTCACTTACACATTTAACGTAATAATTTTATGTGACGATGATTATATAGTGTAAACCACCTAATGAATTGTATAGTATAATCATTATAGTAAAAATTGGAAATCATTACAATATATCAATTTTTTTGACAATAAGTAAAAGAACAATTTTTTTAAGTCATTAAGGACATATAATTACAATATATGAGATACAAGCAATTGTCCGTGTCTGAAGGCACAACGCAAAAAAAAAAAATTGTAATTAAATACATGTGCATTAAAAGATTGTATGCCATAAAAAATTGTCAACTAGAAAAACATTGATAAATATAATATGAGCCTATTATTTTTTTTAAAAAAAATTGGTAAAATATAAATCAAAATAATCCCAAATATTGTTCAATGACCGTTTAATTATTGACTGATATCCAAATGATAGTAAATTCAAAACTTTTTATGGTATGAACATAATCAAATAAATATTAGATAGAAACCAAGGAAGGGGAGATTAAGAGATGAATTGCAACAAAACAATATAATAAACAACATCAACAAAACCTAAATCAGTTAAAACTAAATTTTTAACACTCTATCGGGTTAAATTACACTCATAGTATATTAATAGTTTAGAGAATGTGTATGCCTCTAAATATAATATTTTTTTCAATTCTTCCAAACAATTACGGCTAAATTCTCTCTAAAAATAAGACTCTACCAAAATATGAAGATCTGCAAACTTGATCAAGTAAAGATGTTTTTCATATATCATACTTAAACATATTCGTGGAGAGATAACATGCCATCAAGCAAAATAATATATAAAATTGGCAACAAATCAAATGAATTATAAGACATAATGACAACAAATCAAGTTGAATTTTAATATACTGCAAAAATAGTGTACAACTTGCAAATTTTATGACTGTGCACAAAACATTAAATTGAAAAATCGAGATGGATGCAGGTGATAAAGGAAAGTAGAGTAAATAATATAGTATCATCATTATATTGAATATTCTCAAATTGTGATGTGGAAAAGTAATTTCTCTGACATGGAAATGGCATTATTTAGAGCAGCATGAGCGGGGTCAAATTTTAAATATGGACGTTAATTTTAGAATTTTTGATTTAGACAAAATTTTAGATTTAGATGTCATGGATTTTGGACAAGATTGACAGGCGAATTCAATGTAGGAATGTTAATTTTGGAAACTAAAATTTTTAATAGTTATTTTGGTACGTTGTATCGAAATGATATGAGACGTCAATAGCTTGAGACAGTTTAAGATAGCGTCGTCTGTTGGATGATTTTTTTTTGTCAGGAAATGATCTAATCCATTTTTTGTCTCCAAAATTTAAAATCTTTCTATTTTATTATATAAATTTGTGTATTTATTTGTTAAATATATGGATGAATAAGGGGTTATTTTGTATTTGTATAAGCTTTAATACGTGTGAATATTTTGCTTTGAAGTTCTTTTCCCTTTTTTTAGATATACGCAATACGTGTGATTATTTTCATGCGTAGATATTGTACGAATCTGGATATGGTATTGTTGAGTTAGTTTTTGATATTACATCTTTTTTGGTTGTTCTATTTTTTTTTTTTTCTATTTTTGAGATGATGTCTTTTTTAGGCAATGAATTTTGGATCTTGAGCTATTAGGCAAGGAAAAAATTGAGAAATAAATTAGGCAATGAATTTCGAAGAGAGAAAGAGAGAGGGAGAGACCGAAACTTAGTAGTTAATGAAACTTAAAGTTTTAGACAATCAATTTCGGAAAGTAAATTTTTTAATTGATTACGATAAATGTGGTACGTCGGATCAAAACGATTTGAGACGTCAATAGCTAAAGACAGTTTAGGATAACGTCATTCGTTAGTTGATGTCTTTTTTTGGTGGCGAAACGATCTGAATCACTCTTTGTCTCCAAAATTTAAATTCGTTCTACTTTATTATATATATATATATAGTACGCAATTGTAAATTTGTATACTTTTAATAATAAAATACTCTTATCTTTATTATCTCATTTGTCTCTCTTTCACCCATTATTCTCTCTCTCTCTTCTATCCTTTCATTCAAGTTCTCTCTTCTCTTTTCTCTCTTCATTCAATTCTTCCATTTTTGTGGTCATTCTCTCTTCTATGTTTGTATACATTGTACTCAATTTTTTTTTTGATGTGTGCATGCATTTATCTAATATTACAACTAAAAAAATAATTTTTCAACTTATGAAAGTATAATAATGTTGAAGATTATTTTAATTTTTATTTATTTTGATCCAATAGTACGAAAATTATTATATTTTTTTTTACTCAAAAACATCATTTTCGCTACACAAACCTGAATTTTAACAATTGAACTAACACAATCCCCAATATGAAACAACTTTACTGATCCACACATACTTGTCTTTTCTCTCTAACACAATCCCCTTATGTCAAACAACCTAATTGATCCACACATACTTCTCTTTTTTTCTCCCTTACTCATCTCTTATTTTTTCTCAATTCATTTTAATTTTAAATTACATAATTAAAAAAATAAATTAATTTTTAAAATATAAACTTTGCACTATCAATGCTTGATTTTTGTATTACATGGTGTCTTTAGACATAGGGTTATTACAAATGTATATATAAACTATATTGGATTATAAACAATTTCAATTTTGGTATATCTATATACTAGTCATAACCGTGCTTGAAGGGACGATGAAACATAAAATTCGAGCATCCAAAAAATCTATCATATTATATTAAATAATAATTTTTCTTTTTTTCATTTTTTTGATTATATCAGTTAAAATCTATATTTATCCATTATTTTCTTAAAAATATTGCTAAATTTTTTTCAAAATACGTACTGCCACAATTTTTTTTTCTAAATACGTAATTCGACAAATGTTTATTATCGTGTGCGGATAATATTTGAAATAAAAATTATATTAAACTATTAAACTATGAAAATTAGGCATGTGATAGAAATGAATGATGTGATATTTTAGGGAGAGGGGGAAAAATGTGTAGGGGATAAAATTCAACTTGTGAGTTATTTTATTATATAGATGTACAAATTTGCCTCTATTTTTTTGGCTAATTTTTTAATGGGGGAAAATTCTAAATAATTTTAAAATTTTTTATTTTTTATTTTCTGAAGTCCAAAAGTTTCAAAATTGGAATGGGGATAGTTGCCCTACTGGTCTCACCCTAAATCTGCCAATGTGTGTTATCATATAACTCACATGAAAAATGCTATTGAACTTAATTTGGAGAACTAATTGAATGCAGTTATTGGATTGAAGATGAATTTCGTTTAACTTTGAAACTCACAACTGATCTAATAATTGTATTAAATTAGATCCCCAATTTTCCAAATTAGGTGCATATATCATTGCTCAGCTGCACATAGCTAGGAAGGTATCAGTGATTTTTATTAATTTGGTCCATTGCCAATAACTCTAGCTAACTAGAAAAGGGGCATATACATTGTATTATAGGCAAGCCCATCTCTTAATTAAACTCAGGTTCATTTTTTTTTTTTTTTTTTTTTCATCTTGTAAGGCTTTACCCCGAAGGGAGCCCTTCCAGAAATTCTCTTAGGCCTAGGCTGAACCCAGGCCAAGAGGGGGTTTGGAAATAGTTTTCAACCAGCAATTGACGCGCCTCTGTTAGAACATCACTAGCTGCGTCATTGCCCCAAGCGCAAATAAAATGTTCCAAACCCCCTCAAGCGCAAATAAACTCAGGTTCATTTAATCCCAATTTTTCAATGTTCCAAATAAAATGTTAGATCATACTTAGTTAAAGTGATGCTTTATTCTTAGCCCCCATAGCAATATGACCGTCTCCATTCCTCTCACGTTCTAACACAACCCCCTCTCTCTCTCTCATCTCTTTCGGTTTCATGTCTCTGGCTTTGCCATCCTCTTTTTCTCTGCAATCTCTTGCACCAAATCACATTTTTGGAAAAGGGGGCTACAAAGCAAACATCAATATGGTTTATTGTTTTTGGCTGATTAGCTGAATCTGTTATGACATATTTTACTTAATAAAGATTTGAATGTAGTATTATCTGGTCAGAATTATGTATATAATAAAGTTGAGCTGATATGTCTAACTAGTTAAAATTCAGTTCAATTATCTTATTCAAATCGAATCAAATTTATGAATTTATCAGTTTTAAATGTAAGTCGTGGAAATAAAATTAATCAGGCCTATCAAATGTTGGATTTGTTTAGGGTCAAATGAAATCCAATCCAAATCTAATAGGTATTTCCCTATATACAAAAATCTTTATGCATCATTTTGCTTCGGCATTTGGTCCCAATTATTATTTCCAAGCTATCACAATGGAAGAACAAAGCAGTTGAAAACTTGAAATGCCATCGTATTGTTTACAACGGCTTTATCGACGTTGCAAAGAAATGATTGTTTGCAAAGATGCACGATGCCATGAACATAAAACAAAAAGATATTAACCTTTACGTTTAAATAAGAAAGCAAAATACTAACATAAAGGTTCCCATTGAGTTCGTTTGTAATGATAAAACCAAATCCCCAGTTGACAAGATAGAATACTAACGGCAACGTCGCGGGGACCAAGATGATTCTGGTGTAGCACTTTTGTTTGTTGGCGATGACATATATTTTCTCCAGTCCTCGAGCAGAATTGTAAGATCATGAATCTTATTGTCCAAACCAACACAACAATTTGCATGCATTGTGCACACAAGATTCAAATCTTTGCTAGGCTCACAAAATCCACCGAAATAGGCAGTGTCCAAAAACCTTATTTGTAGACCAATCTCCCTGATGAAAGGATCAAATTTTATCATATTGAGAACATCTTGGTCATGTTTGCCTGGATATTTATCTCTTGAGTCATACCAAAACTTGTAAAATTCGATGGTCCGCTTACTTGATTTTACATAGTTAAATCCTCCATTGGGCCAGTTGTTCAAGTCAAACGAGTCGCCAAAAAAATGATCGCATGCAATCTGGAAATCAGCATCCGGGTAAAAACGTGGAAATGGATCTCGAAGCCACATTATATCATTATCCTGTAGGAAAGAGAGTCAGCAAGAGTTTGTTGCTTAAGGTCATTCAGATAGAGTTTCATAAATCTATATTATTAATAAAAGGATAGGACTAAGTTTGTTGTTCACTTCTCAAATGTCCATAATGACATTTTTTTTCCTATACCCATTGCTCTCTATTTAATTTCATTCAATGGTCTTCACTCATGAAATGTAATTGTTTCGTAGACCATCAGGTCTAGAAAGAATAATGATAGTAAATTATGCAATTTGGTATGTGTACACCATGGGGTAGGAGTCAATAATCACTACAAGAATAAGGTCTTTTGTGACAAATTTTTTATGATAGTTGTGTTTGCCGTCACAAAAAACATATTTGAGACAATTTTTTCTGACGGTTGTGTTTGCCGTCACAAAAAACGTGTTTGTGTTAATATTTGTGGTAGCTATTTTTTCTATCGAAAATAGTATCATAAACTCAAAAGAAATTTTTGTATTTGAGACAATTGTTTTTCCTGTCTCAAATAATATTTTATAAATTCAATTTTTTTTTTATATTTATGGCAGTTATTTTTTTCTGTCTATTATATTTCATAAAACATTAAAATGTTGTTTTAGATTAAAAACAGTTTATAGTTTAAAGAAAAAAAACTCTAAAAAAAATTTATATTGGCCACAACTATTTTTCATGTTACAAGTAATATTTTATAAAATTACGTAGTTTAATATTAAAAGACAATTTTTAGTTCAAAGAAAAAAAATTAAACTCTATAAAGTCAAGTTTTTATATCAAAACTACGGGTGTCAAAATATGACACGATTCGTTAACACGACATAAAATTAGTGGGTTTGAGTATTCTTTAAGCCACCTGTTTAATAAACGAGTGGATCCGTCACGATACGATTATAAATGAATCAAATATTGGTGAAATCAATTAGAAGAAATGTATACAATATGACTCGTTTATATACCATTTACATAATTGGGCAAGCCGTTCAAAGAAATATTATGTGGCTTCTGTTGATGTATATTTTAACTTCTTTTAGTTTTTTATTGTATTTATGTATATAAATATTATTACAGTATAATACCAATAATTTTATATTTTTTTCAGATGTCACTAAGAGAGTAAATGGTTCGGGAAGGATGTTCAACTTTTTGCATTAATTTCTTGTACTCATAGATCGTCATGTTTTATAAAAGTGCATATTTTACATTTTGTTTAACTCCGGGATTGTTTTTTTTTTTTTTTTAATATGAAAATATTGCTATGTTTTTGGAAATTTTGCTTATATTTACTTTTGTGTTTATCAATATATTAAATTGGGTAGTTGTATGGATATTAATGGGACATTGGTCTAATGATATTCTTTACATTGTGAAAGCTTAAGGTTAAGGATTCAAACCTTCTTCCCCCTTCTCCCTCCCTATATGCACAGGGTATATAACATGAGTTATCAATGGTTTATAATAATTAAAAAAAAATTTGTTTTTTTTTTTGTGGCAGCATCGTTGCCGTCATAAATATATCTTTTATTTTTTACGACATCCAAATATAATAATTGAGGCAACACTTTTGCCGCCGTGATAAAAACAAAAGTGTCGGATTTTTTGTGACAACTTATTTACGACGGGGTCTTGCGGCCGTAAATACTATTTGAGACAGACCATTGCTGTCGTAAATTTTTTTTGAAACCACACTTATTATGGCGATGCAATGCTGCCACAATACTGTCACAAAAAATATTTGTGACTGCAAATAGACCTTTTATGACAGCATTTTACCGCCGTAAAACTCTTTTTCGTTTGCAGTGAATTGATTTTAACCAAATCTATACGGGTGGTAATAAGTGGTTACCATTTTACCTTATATCTATTAGACCATGTTTGCGTCAAGGTTTGAATAGGGTGTTGTTCATTGTCTTTATACCATTTAAATTATAGATTAATGAACGTATAAGGTGAAAAAGAAAAATATACCCTTATATGAATTCATAACTTACATGTTAGGGATACTTCTGTAATTATTGATATTACAATCAATCACGTTTCATTTAATATCATATTTTATATGATATTTGTTTATATGTTTATTATTAGGTAATACAGTAGCACTAAACTAATACTGATTATAAAACCGTTAAAACCAAACCAAATAATCATATGATAAGCATTTGCGGAGTTGAAAATTTAGATGGTACCGTAAAGATGAAGTTGTATCCAATATCAAGAACGCTACGAAGAAAATCGATCCTTCTCCACATCATCTTTAAGTAGTCAGTGGACATGAAATGTGCTTCGCTTGAAAAGTCGATGTCTGGAGTGTTGAGAGTATAACAATACTTGTGCAATGCTAAGCAACGAGCATATGCCGTTTGGTCCAAAGCAACAACTAGCAAATGATTCAAGAGCCCTTGAGTTTGATTCCCTATTCCGAAACTCCTAATAAAGAGTTCAAATATTGAATTTGGCGCGGCCCAGGCTTCATTTAGTGTAGTTATAATGACTGTTTTGTCTGTCATTGCTGCTTCTTTCAAGACTCTCACTAACGCAGGATCATCCTTGGCCTTAGAGTGTGAGAAAAGTTGGACAAGCAACAAAACAAGTAAAGAGATAGACATTAAGAGAGTTCTTTTCAAAGTTAGAATTCCCTATTCTGATTAGCTTTGGCACCATACGGAAACATTTTTTTTTAATTTTTTAAAATTTTAAAATATTTTTATAAGCAGCGTTTATTTTTATACATTTACATTTTATTTTTTTTCCTTTTGTAAACTTTCAAAATTCTTGTTCTTTAAGCCTAATAGCACGTATAATAGTAGGAGAAGACTACGGTATCAGGGAAAAAAAATCGGTAACCATATTGCCATTACAAATTTTATGATTTTTTTTTTTTAATTTTGGGGAGACATTTACAACTTTTGTAGCAACTTGGGATCGATTCTAAAATTGTTGTGATCCATCGTAATTCTAATAATTTTAGTATCGGTCTCATGTTTCCCACAAAAATTGTCAATTGACTAAAAAAAATTATAACTTGAACATTAAAAGTTATAACATGATCCAAAAAGTTGTATTTTTTTTTTTGGTAAACTTTTTTTTCAACCCAAAAAAATTGTAAAATTTGGTTGTACCCTAATATTCTCCTACTATATATGTAGACATATATGAATGCATTTTCTTGTTGACTGATTCAGATAGATAGTTTTTATTATATCTTAATATAAAAAATATGACCAATCGGTAGCTTATTATATTTCGTCAACCATAACATAATTAGTAGATTTAGAAACGAATACGGCATCCTCCGGGTTGTCCTTAGATAATAATTAAACAAAAGTCTGCCAACCATGAGGGTTAAGATCACGTAGAAAATCAGTGACAAAGTCAGTAAAAGTCCCTTAATCATTTTATTCTCCTTCCTACTTTCTATTCTATTATCTGTCAATGGCCGTTCCTCAATGCTGAAGCAACTTGATGGGTGGCGGAGCCTGGCAGCCATTAGGATAGACATGGTTGTGGTTATGGACGACCATAGAGGTGGTGATTGGCTATGGTTTGGTTGCGACAGGGCAGGGAAGGAGGTACGTAGGTGAGGTGGAGTTGTATGGGGACCTAATACAATATAGACATGGAATTAAAGGTGGGACTCTATCTAACAATTGAAGTTACAATTAATCCAGTAAGTGCTACAAAACCAAACCACGTTAGGGATAGAATGTGATTAACCCAAATTTGTTGTTTAGAATTCATCTCCAACATGGCCGCCAGTTAATATTTTGTTTCGACCATAAAATGTGGCTATGACACCTAGATGACCAATGACAAGTGGGGAGCTCTAAGCCTCTAACTATAATGACAATTCTGTTCGTTACAAGAGATCAGGAGCAAATATGAGTTTCCAAGATGTATCAAACATCTGCCTCTCTGATTATAGTGCAAATTTTGAGTCCACAGTGAACCTCAAAAGGAAATGTAACAGATCTTCCTGCTAAATCATGCAAACTGTAATTTCCTGTCATGGAGAAATCTCTCTAATCCTGAAGTAAAAACATCTGCTATCACCCAAGTACAAGTATAACCCATAAAAGAAATGACAAGTAATTGACTTACCAGAGAAGATATGATTCCACGAGCAGAGTCTTGAGAAGAGGCTGATGGGTTGTACAAGGAGTTGGGGAAGAATTGGAAAGAATTGAGAGAGTGATAAAGAACCAGACATGCTGGAACAACCGCTAGGAATAGCAAGCTAATCCTTAAAACCAGATGAAAGAAGTGATTTTTGTGGTTGTGGCCTCCCGATTCCAATGACTTCTCATCGCTTCTTTTGCTGCTTGCACCAGCTGAATCCATCATGGGTGAAAGGATCTTCTTGAGGCTGCCAATACCCTTGTCTTTCCGACTCCTTTTAGCTTGAAAAGTCAAGTGTTATCTTCATTCTTAATGTCAAACGTCTGTAGTTGAACTATACCCATAATAGTAAACATATTCGAAACCCTTTTTAAATATAAATGTCAAAGTTGTATAGGGGTAGGCCCTTTAAGTTTTAATTTTTCTAAATGATACATTTCCCTGATATATTTTATTACATTTTTTTTTTGATACTAAAAAATTCAATAGATACAAAATGACCAAAAACTAAAATTCGTCATTTAAACTAACAAAGAAACACTCCTCCCTCATAATATCTCTTTCTTAAGTAGCGGTTCGTTTTGGATCATATTAAATTAATATCATTAGATAAACATATTTATATTTATATTTTTTTAACTTCAATTCGATTTGAAATTATAAGTTATGACCCTAAATTTCATATCCATTTAATTATATTTATACAAGAACAAATTAATCATATAAATTTTTAAAAAATTACAAAATGACTCCAATATGTTTAAATCTTATCTAGGAATGTATGTAACATGTCAGATGTATGGCCAAAAGTTATTACAGTTTACTTTTGATTCTGTGTTAAGAGTAATATTATACTTATCAAATTTTAGGATTAAATTTAAAACCCAAATGATATGTCAGTTGATTATTTGAAGTTTTTATTGGAGTTCAAATTACATGACATCAATCAAAGAAACTCAAGTCAACTGTCATCTCATTTAGACTTTAAATTTGGTCAGTCTAACATTATTACTGTGGTAATTGGTATAATAAAGTATAATAAGATGGGCATACTTAACTATATTCAATAAATATTTTAAATTTATATAGGTAATATTAATAAAAAAAAATTGAGGGTGGAGACATATTCCCCACCTAGCAGGCTAGCACCGCCCCCCCACCCCCGACTTGTTTCTTTTTTTGGGTAATAGCAGCATTCCTTATTTGTAAGGCCAAACGTAACATAAATGCCGACTAAATGAGGAAAGCCATTGCTTTTAGGATGTGCTATATGATAGTCTGGTTACTTCCACGACGAAAGAGGAAAGACGCCCCTATGCTAGTGTTGAGACTAGATCTCAGCCAACCCTAAAGAATAAGAGAGAAGAGAGTCGTATTAAGACTTGACTTCAATTCATACCTAATTACCTAAGGATATATAATTAAGATTAATGTTATAGAGACGTAAGAAGTTGTCATATTTTATTGATATAATTATTTGTCAAGTGATAAAATATCAATAAAAAAGTTCAACAGTTACAGACATAATACTAATATTAGACCATATCACTGTCTCATTGCTAAGTCAATAAATTAAATTAATTTTTTAACTTCTAATAACATTACTCATAACTTAATAATCATTGAGGTAATTAACCCATTTATATATATTATTAATAAAAAGAAGCTATATAAAAAACTTTTAAATTCCTAAATTACCCATAAATAATTCTTTAAAGTCATATTCTCTCTATCTATACTAAAACAGTAGAAATTATTACATCCAGACTTTATAAAGTTTGTCACTTAATTACTTAGATTTTTTGATATTTAATTAGATTATTTTAGATCTAAATATAGCATTTTAAACTTAAAAGTCTAAGTATTATACACCTATAAATTTCAGAAGATCTGAGTGTAATTTTTTAACGGACATTGACAGCAGGGGTCTAAGTGATACGTGTGTACAAATTTTAGGGAGTTTGTATGTAATATTTTAAATATCAAAGAGTTTAATTGATTAAGTGATAAACCTCAAGTGGTTTAGATATAATTCTCCCAAAATAGTAAAAAACTTGTTCCCATCCCCCTCAAACAAAGAATCGCCAAAGTCCAAACTGACGTAACCCCTCTTCCCAAGCTCTAACTCCCATCGTTGAGCTTTTGACCCATCCCATGGACTTTTAAAAAAAAAGGTCCCAAATAAGAGTGATTTTGAAAATAATTCTCAAATACAGACACTTTTTAAAAAGGTCAAACGAATTGACATTTTTAGGATAAATATGTCAAATGGATTGACGTCTTTATCCTAAAAACGTCAGTCCATTTGACGTTTTTTAACCCAATACTGTAACTTAGCCCACCAACTAAAAAACGTTATTCGATTTAACGTTTTTATAATAGATGTCAAACCGACTGACGTCGTTGGACATTTTTGAAAAAATAACAATGCCGCTCTCACTAATATACAAGAATTTCGAGGATAAGTATACTTATACTTGGAAAGGCCGCCAAGTCAAGCTATCATGCTTTGAATATTCTTTCAATATTTAAACAAAATCCAAAACCACATTGCACTTACTTTGACCAAATCGTGCATGCAACATTATCTTCTATGCGGTAACAATAGATCAAATTTTGATTCAAATGTGATTAATTGGATATCAATTAATATTTTTTATTAATAATTTGAATTCGAATTTGATATCTTATATTTTCACGGATTCGAATTATAATTTAATTATATCAAATCCGATTATGATTCGATTCGATCCAAATTATTTATATATTTTCATATAAATTTTTTAAAAATTAAATAATTATTTTAAAAATTTTAGTTAATTAAGTTATTCGGAAGAGATCAAAATTTGGATTGTTAATAGATTTGAATATGGACCACGAAAATAAAATTTATCGGATTATCAGATTCAAATCAAACTTTTGAAATTGAATTCGAATTCAGATCAATCAGAATTTTATCTAAATTTGATTCGTTAACAGGCCTATGTGCGGTACTAAAAAAAAAAATTTATTGTATTGCGCTCAATTAAAGCCCTGTCTACACCGACAAAAGACCAAACACCATTGCCTCAATAAATAAATAAAATAATACATATATAATAATCAAACCACTCAATTATTTTATGTTGTACCACCTACACATAAAATAATGTTAAATGTTTATTTAATAAAAAAATTAATTAATAATTTTTTTTTGATATTTTAAAAACACATAAATTTCTTTTTGTCCTACTGACATTTTTTCCTGAATAATACCTAAAAATATTTTGCTCCCTCTTTTTTTGAGAGGATGAGTAATTAAATTTTTATTTATTAAAAATTTAATTACATTCAATAAATAAATTTTGATAATTTAAAAATACTTATATTTTTTTAGCATATCAAACTCTACCGACAAAACCAAGCACACCAAATATGTAATGCTTGAATAAATTAATCTGTGTTTAGATAATTATCATAACTGCCCTTGAATTTTAATTTAGTCTTTAGTGATAGGTTTTGTGTATTTTTTTTCCTGAAAAAAATGTTAAATGTTAATTTTTAAAAAAATTAATTAATAAATAAATTTTTATATTTTAAAAATACATAAATTTCGTTTATGTTATTTATTTAAAAATTTAATTGCATTCAATAAATAAATTTTGATAATTTAAAAATACATAAATTTTCTTTATCTTACTGACATTTTTCTCCTTAACAACAATACCTAAAATTTTTTTGCTCCCTCTCTTTGTGAGAGGATGAGTTTAATTTCATTTAATTAAAAATTTAATTACATTCAATAAATAAAATTTGATAATTTAAAAATACTTATATTTTTTAGCATATGAAACTTTAAAAATTAAAAACATATACATATAATTAAATTTAAGGTCCTATACAAACTGTAAGTGTTACACCCAATAATTTCTCCTCTAGAAGTATACGTTCTGAAAAAATATAAGTTATTCAGAACATATAAATGTAAAAATAAGATGTCAACAACGTGGTTGATATTCAAAACAACATAAAGGATTATCGAGTACACATAAACATGATGGGATAAAAGTGTCAAGCGCATCATCGTCTAAATCAGAGAAATCAAAAAGCTTAGGATCAGAAACAAGTAACAGATCCTCTAAAATTTTAATTTTGACATATTTATGATCAAAATGCTCTATTTTAGCATAATCGAGTGCGTGAACGATCAAGACAACGCTGCATTTGATCATTTTCACGTTCAAGCCTTGAAATGACCTCGTCATGATTGTTTGAATTATGTGAATTGTAAATATCAACCGAATGTGTGTTTGGTACTGCAATTTCATGCCAACGACAAAATACTTCAAGGTCACAACGTTTGTCATATAATTGTCGCCATATTGGTGTGCGTTCGATATGAGCACCTGAAGGTGGATAATCAGTTACAGACCCAATAATTACATGTCCAGCTTGTCCGAATGGGTGATAAGGGTCGATGAGTTCATTGTGGAATGCACGCTTTCGTCCATATCACGTTACACCACTGGAGTCGGTATATGATTCGATAGAAGAAACTTTGTTCAGCGATGTTGAGCTGTCTGTTGAGCATTCACATTTGTTACCCGAAGATGAACTATTTTGGTGATTGCGTGAAGAAGAACTTGCATGTGATGTGCTCCTATATTTTTTTGATGGTGGTGTATTTACACAACTGTGAAAGGTAGTATATATATGCTCGATTTGACATAGTGAAACTGATTTGTCAGTATGAAAAATGACAATGAAAAAGTTTGGATATGACAACACACTGCATAAATTGACAACATAATGCATAGATTGACTACACACTGCATAGATTGATTAAAGTGACAACACACTGCATACATTGACAAGTACAAGATGTGACAATAAAAAAGTTGACATATGACAACACACTGAATAAACTCATAAAACAACAATGATGATTAAAGTAAATAAAACATAGACATAAACGTTATATGCTTAATAACGTGAACAATAATTAAAAATTTTAATTTTCATCAGACATATACTCATCTGATAGGTATTGTTCATTAGACAATACCTTTGATCGTTCAGTAGCTGTTAACTCCCTGTCAAATGCAGTTGTAACCATGTCAGATGCTATTTAGAGCATATAATATCAACACTTGCAGATCATCATCCTATTATTCTCTTTTCGTATACGTTTAACTGATGCCTCATAGTTGACTCTATTCTTTCTAGGCATGGTAAGTGAAAGTCTA